TAGAGTGGATGGGGAGCAATGTGGCAGATGTTGAAGTATAGGAAATTTGGTGGTATTACTAAATGTTGTAAAGAGTTTTTTGGAATAGTACCTGGGGTTTAGGGTGTGCAGAAAAAGAGGGAGACTGTTTCCTGGTAAAAGTAGGTCTTAGACAGGGATGTGTAATGTCACCATGGTTGTGTAATATATTTATAGATGGGGTTGTAAAAGAAGTAAATGCTAGGGTGTTGGGAGAGGGGTGGGATAAAATTATGGGGAATTACATACAAAAAGGGAATTGACACATTTTACTTTTTGCTGATGATACTGTGTTTATGGAGATTCTAAAAGAAAAATTGCAAAGGTTAGTGGACGAATTTGCGAGTGTGTGTAAAGGTAGAAGTTGAAAGTGAACATAGAAAAGAGTAAGGTGATGAGAGTATCAAATGATTTTAGATAAAAAAAAATTGGATATCAAATTGGGGAGGGGGAGTAGGGAAGAAGTGAATGTTTGAGATATTTGGGAGTTGACGTGTCAGCGGATGGATTTATGAAGGATGAGGTTAATCTTTGAATTGTTTGAAGGAAAAAAAGTGGAGTGGTGCATTGAGGTTATGTAGAGGCAAAAAATGTTATCTATGGAGGCAAAGAAGGGAATGTGTGAAAGTATAGTAGTACCAACACTGTTATATGGGTGTGAAGCTTGGGTTGTAAATGCTGCAGCGAGGAGGCAATTGAGATTCCTGTCTAAGGGCTATGTGTGGTGTAAATATTATGCAGAAAATTCAGAGTGGGGAAAAATTAGGAGGTGTGGAGTTAATTAACAGTTTTAGCCAGAGGGATGAAGAGGGTTTGTTGAGGTGGTTTGGTCATTTGAGAGAGAATGGATCAAAGTAGAATGACATGGAGTGTATAAATCTGTAGGGAAAGGAAGGCGGGGTAGGGGTCGTCCTCAAAAGGTTGGGGGGGGTAAAGGAGGTGTGTGGGAAAGGGGGTTTGGACTTCCAGCAAGCGTGCTTGAGTGTGTTAGACAGAAGTGAATAGAGACGAAAGTATTTGGGACCTGACGAGTTGGTGGAGTGTGACAGGGTAATATTTAGTGAAGTGAATGGGAAAACCGGTTTTTTTTAAATAACCGGATTTTAGTCCTGGAAATGGGAAGTTACAATGGCTGCACTCTAAAGGAGGGGTTTGGGATATTGGCAGTTTGGAGGGATATATTGTGTATTTTTTATATGTATATATTCTAAACTGTTGTATTCTGGGCACCAGCAAAAACAGTGATCATGTGAGAGGTGAAAGTGTTTGAATAAGAAAAGAGTATTTTCTTTTTGTGGATTTTTCCATTCTTTTTGGGTGACCCTGCTCGGTGGAGACCGTCTCGCCTTGTTTAAAAAAAAAAAAAAATTCTTGTCACTCTTATGCGCACATCAGTTCAATTGTATCAGTATTATTATACACTGATAATTATAGAATGATTAACATTGCACAATATGGAAATAGTTCTGAAGAATCTTGCTCTTCACACCAAAATGAAAAAAATATTATTTGAAGTTTTTGATAACAATATACAGACCAACTTGGGCCAAACACATCCGAAAAAAGGTAAAAACAGGATATAATAAAGAATATACTGGATAAATAATATAAAGTCCCCTGAAACATATTTCTACCACCTAAAAGATTTGTTAGGTGGTGACTGTACCATTCCATCATTAAGGAGGAGGTAGTTCTGGATGTGAGGAGAATGTTTCACTATTTACCCTGTGTGTGAACAAGGGTCTCCAGGGAGAAACCTGGAAGAAAAAAAATTAGCAAAATAAATTTTTAAGTAAAAAAACTCAATTATCACATTTTAGATTGACACTGATGAATAAATTTATGATTTTTCAGACTATTAATGCTTACCCTTAAAATTAAAATATTTTGAACTACAACCTAGGTAGTGGTGGTAGACAGCAACTGCTCTCAGGAGGTACTACCATCCTGCCAAGTGAGTATAACGAAAGCCGTAATTGTTTTACTATGACGTAGGATTGCCCGCCCCTGTGTCCTTTTTTCTGTCTCAATAACATGCAAGAATTAAGGTATGCTTTGCAACTTCTACTACACTTAGGTCACACACACATACATAGACATGGTCCCCCCGCATTTCGTAGTTCCCGCGGCAATCGTAAAATTCGCCAATCATAGGTGTATTTTTGTATAAACATGACTAGCTTTTTCATAGATGACTCGCCAGTCGAAGTATCTTCCAGGCCAACGTAAACGCACGCAGTGCCAGGCGGCAGCCAGCTTGGCATTGTTTACCAGTGAGGCGAAAGGTCCCCCGCGTGCTCCTCATCGAAATAATTTCATAATATTTCCATTTAATTTTAGTGCTTGCACTACAAAATAAGCTACCATGGCTCCAAAAAAGGCTTCCTAGTTCCAAGCCTGTGGTAAAGAAGGTGAGAAATACGAATGAATTTAAGAAAACCATCATTGAACAATATGAAAGAGGTACAAGTGTGGAGCCTGAACTGTCCAGATGTTAATAAACCCTACTCAACCTTATGTTTCCATAATGGGCAAGAAAAAAGAAATAAAGGATGCTGTTGTTGCAAAGGGAGTAACCATGCTGACAAAAATGAGATCACCAGTACTGAAGATGTTGAGAAGAAATGTATTGGTGTGGATAAATGAGAACCAATTAGCAGGAGATAACTCTTATGACTTCGTTTAATTGTGAAAAAGGACTAGGCAGTTGCATGAAGATTTGGTAAAATTGCGCTGCAAATAGTGGTAAGCGAGTGAATTTAAGGCAGCAAAGGCTAGTTTGAGAGATTTAAGTAACCGTGTACTGGCATACCACCAGTGGTGGTAAGGCATGGCGAGGCTGCCAGTACAGACCACAAGGCGGCAGAAAAAATATGGTGCATAATTCCCCGGAGTACATAAACAGTGAGGACTGAAACCTGAACAAGTGTTCAAGTATTGTGACGATACAGCCTCATATGGAAGAAAATGCCAAAGAGTGACCTTCTTTACACAAGAGGAGAAAGCAATGCCAGAGACAAAAGCCATGAAAAACAGCCTGTACGCTAATGTCTTCCGCTCTAATGCAAGTGGGATTTCAAAGTGAAGCACTCACTTGACCAAAGGGGAAATTTTTGGAGACAACACTTCCATCCCCCACCCATAACCTTTGGTATGGCTTGGGGGGAGGACTCCCGGATTTTAAAACCTGCCGGAAAAAATTGTGGCCAGTTTGTGTCGACAAGAGGGATTTTAAAGGATTTGGGACTGACCCAAATGAGCCTATGTCTTTTTAAAAAATAATTGTGGCACGGGGGATTTTCCAGGGGGGGTTGGATGTGAGTTTGGAGGATTGGAAGAATTGGTGGAAGCCCACAATGAAGAGCCACCCTGGGGAGCGCAAGACTTCAGCAGGAAAGCAAACATGAGCTCAGAATCTTGCTGCGAGGAGGGGGAAGAGAGATGGAAGAAGGTGCCTTTTTAGAAATTAAAGAGATTTTTTATGGGGGGTAAGAGGAAAGCTTTATGGAAAAAAACATCCCCCTAAAAAGGGTTGTTGCAAGCCGGGTTGGAAAAATTACAGTGACAAAGTCTTGGCCCATTTTAGGGAAGTGTTAAAGAGATGCCAAAACGAGTTCCCCACAGTTTTTTTTGTGAGACAGGACCCCAGTACTCAAGGTGGTCCTAGTGGCTTTAAAAAAAAACAAAAAGAGAAAACCCAGAAAAGCAAATGGTACCTGAGGTGTTGAGGAAGGGGTTCCCCTTCCAAACTTAAAACAACCCCTCTTTCCCCCCTCAGTCTCCCATACACTAAGAAAATCTCCAATAAAGGTAAGTGTTACGCTGTTAATGTTTCTTCATCCATTACATAAATTCATTCAACGCACTTACAAAAATCACTTACATAATTGGTGCATTCGGAGGAAATTCGTTATGCGGGGCCCCACTGTTAGAAATTAAAAGTGACAGGTTACTGTGACTGGTTACTACAAAAGCCACACTAATTTTATTTTTTAAACACTGGCCCTTTCCCCCCAAAGGGGGGGGGCCCCCCAAAAAAAAAAGCTTTCATCTTTATTCACTCCATCCTCTTGCAGAGGTGTACTTACACTACATTATAAAGCGCAAATTACACCCCCCCTTTCAGGTGCGGAACTGTACTTCCCCTTCCAAAATCAAGTCTGGCTGCCTTTTCTGAATCCCTTTTAAATGTTACTTCCACACCCAACAAAAACAAGTCAAACACCAAATTTTTTTTTCTATTCGATTTCTAACTTGTCCACACTTTTCTGGAAGTCCCAAACCCCCCGCACACAAAACCTCCTTTTTTCCCTCCCCCCCTTTAACCTTTCCGGGCTGACCCTTTTCCCCCCCTTCCATCCCCTACGTTTATACACTTCGAAGCATTCTATTTTTTTCCCTTCCCCCTACATGTCCCCAACCTTCAAAACCCCCCCTCAGCCCTCTGGATAATAATAATACTGTGCTGTATTTTCATATAAAACAAAATTTAAAAAATACTCAATGGTAATTAAAATATACGGGTAATGAAACAAGGTAAAAATTTTAATCATAAACTAAGTAAAAAATTCAAGCAAAAACAGTTATGTACAGTGGACCCCCGCATACCGTTGGCCTTACATAACGTTAAATCCACATACCGCTACATTTTATCGCCAAGATTTTGCTTCGCATACCGCTAAAAAACCCGCTCAACGCTGTTCGTCTGAGACGTGTCTATGTGCGGCCTGAGCCACGCTCACATGTTCCGCTGGTGGCATTGTTTACCAGCCAGCCTCCGTGGTAACATCCAAGCATACAATTGGAACATTTCGTATTATTACAGTGTTTTTGGTGATTTTATCTGCAAAATAAGTGACCATGGGCCCCAAGAAAGCTTCTAGTGCCAACCCTACAGCAATAAGGGTGAGAATTACTATAGAGATGAAGAAAAAGATCATTGATAAGTATGAAAGTGGAGTGCGTGTCTCCGAGCTGGCCAGGTTGTATAATAAACCCCAATCAACCATCGCTACTATTGGTGGTACAGCTGCTGCTGTACCACCGTCAGCTGCTGCTGCTGCTGCACTGTCAGCTGCTGCTGCTGCTGCTGCTGTAGTACCGTCTGTTGCTGCTGTAGCATCGTCTGCTGCTGCTGTAGCATCGTCTGCTGCTGCTGTAGCATCGTCTGCTGCTGTTGTACCACCATTAGCTGCTGTTGTACCACCGTCAGCTGCTGCTGCTGTTGTACCACCGTCAGCTGCTGCTGCTGTAGTACCGTCTGCTGCTGCTGTAGTACCGTCTGCTGCTGCTGTAGCACTGTCAGCTGCTGCTGCTGTAGCACTGTTGTTGGTGTGGCTTATTGAGAATACCAAGAAACAATTAACCCCAGAGGATTTGCCACCCAGGATAACCCAAAAAAGTCAGTGTCATCGAAGACTGTCTAACTTATTTCCATTGGGGTCCTTAATCTTGTCTCCCAGGATGCAACTAACACCCAGGATGCACTAACACCCAGGTGAACAGGGAAAAATGCCTGGAACTAGTGCTCATATTGGTGAATTTAAAGCCAGCAAAGGTTGGTTTGAGAGATTTAAGAATCGTAGTGGCATACACAGTGTGATAAGGCCTGTTCTGGAAGAAAATGCCAAACAGGACCTACAGTACTCAGGAGGAAAAGGCACTCCCAGGACAGTGTCTCATCAGTCATTGCTGCATCTTCAATAAAGGTAAGTGTCATTTATTCTTCATTTAGTAGAGTAGTACATGCACAATATATATTGTGCATGTACTACTCTACTATTGTGCATGTATCCTTCTCTGTGTGTGTAGGAAAAAGTATATTTCATGTGGTAAAATTTTTTTTTCATACTTTTGGGTGTCTTGCACGGATTAATTTGATTTCCATTATTTCTTATGGGGAAAATTCATTCGCATAACGATAATTTCGCATAACAATGAGCTCTCTTGCACGGATTAATATCGCTATGCGGGGGTCCACTGTATATGCCATATTTATAGTATACACATGCATAACTTTGGTATATTAACTCTAGTTAAACAAAAAATACTTTTGGCAAGTTTAGTTAAAAACCTCAAGTTAAACTTGTGTAAAAAGTAGAACTTAGAATTTGATATGAAGACTCATTAAGAGATTACCACAAGTGCACTGACCTGGGAGAAGGATTGGGTCTTGAGCGTTGATGGTGTCACAGCAGAAAGGGTGATGGGAGGCACAATAAGAGCAGCAGTCACTACTGGCTTCATACTGTTATTATTGCTGAGGCTGCAGATGCTGCTGTTACTGCTGTTGCAACTGCTACTTGCACTCCCATTACCTGTGATAACACCAGGTATCACAAGAGGTGTCTTAACACTGTTGCAACAGTCCACTGTCATGCTGTTGCTTCTCAAATTATTCAACTGACCAGCACTGGTGATGCTAGCAAACTGTTTGCCACTGATTGACTGACAGGAAGTAACCGGATATGAGCCTAGAAAAGGATAACAGTCTCGATACATTAAATGCTGCTAGGAATTAAATAAAATATTAGTTGAAGTAAAATATATTCACTTTACGCAAATAACCTGCACATAGGAGAAAGAAAATTATGATGATGTTTTGGTCCAACGTGGACTAGTGTGTGACTAGTTAATGGTCCAATCAGACTGAAATGTCATCGTAAGTTTATTTCTCCTATGTGCAAGATACTGAGTTTTGTTCCAGTCAAGGTATTGTGCCTTTTTATTCAATATTCACTTTACTATTCAAATAAGTACAAAATTAAACTTTAGAAAAATCAATACTTGTGGGTTAAAAATAAACTATTTGAACTATGGCACTGTTCCTTATTCTTTAATACTTATTAAACTTCTTTCTTTTATTAACCCTCATTCATATGGAAAAGAATAAGAAGGCAAAATACCATGACTGGAACAATACGTAATAACCCATAAATAAGAGACTGGAACTTATGACGATGTTTCAGTCTGACTTAGAACATTGACTAGGTAATGATCCAAGTCAGATTGAAACATCGTCACGCTTTATTCTCCTATGTGCGAGTTATTTGTGTACCAATTCATACGACAACTTACAAAGTTAAAGCAAAAACTAAGTATTTTGGCCTATCTGTTAGAGGCTCTGGGAATTATCTTTACAGCACAGTATCAAGTCAGGCTGTAAATGTTATAAAGGAACTATTACAGGATTAAAAACTATTAAGAAACACACACAAAACTAAATGAAATGTGTATATTGAATATAAGTAGAAGTCTGTAAAACTTATATGTTTATGAGACAGCAAGAAAAGAGCAGCAATTCTGCCGATGTAAAGAAAAAAAAATGATCAGGTTTACATTTCGCACTCATCAGACAGGATGGTGGTACTTTCCCGGATGGTTGCTGTCTACCAATCTATGTAACACACCTACCATGCAGTACTGTTTTCCTGTCACCCCTATTCCAATGAACTGTCTCTTGCTTTCCCTTCTAACCTGAAGTAAGAAGTTGAGCAAGTAGAGCTGAGCCAGCAGGAGAATTAGCCGCCTGTACTGAAGCTATCACAGGTGTAGACACCAGGGATGGGCCAGAACCCTGAATGGTGACTGATGATGATGGAGCTGGGGCAAGTTGTGGAAGAGTTGTGGCTGTAACAGAACTGATAACCTGGTGAGGTGCTAAGGATGGTGTACCTATTAATCCACTGCTGCTATTGCCGCTACCAGAACTGTGTGATCTTCGCCTTGGTAAAGACTGAGGGAGAGAGAAAAAAGGCAATATTAAAACTGTGCATAATAATTTCCATTATAAATTAAATTACAGCCTCTCCTCACTTAACAATGGAGTTCTGTTCCTGAGACCACATTGGTAAATGAATTCGTCACTAAGCAAGGATCATACTATAATGGTAGTGGGTTTGTATCAACCATCTTTGATAGTTTTAATGTCACTTTTGCACCATTTATAACATTTTTAGTATATTTTTAAATGTTTATACAGTAGTGTACTGTATACGTATTGTAATAAACAGAATAGAGGAAATCAGTTCTAACATACACTATTTAGGTATGCATACTGGTCAGAGAGCCCATCCTAAGTCTGAGTCATCGGTAAATGAGTATGTCACTAAGTGAGGAGAGGCTGTACACAAAAATAAAGAAAAACAGTGACGTTAACATGTGTCGTGCAAGTTGGGCACTGGCGTGTTACTCCTGCTGGAGGCACCTTGTATGCTGGTGCCACAATAGCTGCTTTCCTTTTTCACAGTTTCCCCTGTTTTTGTTTAGTAACAAAGGTAATGCAGGCCAAGCATACTAACAAATACATGTACAACAATAAGCAATTTTTCTTCAGGTTTACACAAATTTATTCTTTAGCTTTGCCAGAATCACAAAAGCACAAAAAAAATTCTTTGCTCTTTTAAATTGAGAGGGAAACTCTAGCTCCAGAAAGCTAGTAGATGCTTAGCCATGGGTGCAGTATATGACCTCAGTAATAAAGGGGTTGCTTAACCACTGATACCCAGCACTGGTCTAACAGTGGCTACACCAGATTAATAATACCACCTGATGGTTGTGTTTTGATGGCCTAAAATGATGTTTGGTCAAACACTGGAGATATCAAAACCAATCATGCTTTGCATATCTGTATTGCAGTTCCTAGACAAAAAAGTGTTTATGTAAATCTTCATCCTTGCTGACAGGTTGAACATCATTCCACTTCATCAGATGTTTTTGGCTATTCCTGTGTACAGTGGTACCTCGGGATATGAACTTATTTCGTTCCAGAAGGCTGTTCGAGTGCTGATACCGAAAGAATTTGTTCCCATAAGGAATATTGTAAATTAGATTAATCCTTTTCAGACACCAAAAAATACACCTACAAAAGCACTAACATAAATACACTTACATAATTGTTCGCGTTTTGAGCTGTTGATATCCCGAGTTACCACTGTATGTTGCCATGATTAACAGCCTATGCAGCAGGCGTACTTATACTTGTGATTCTTAAGGCTTAATATCACATTATCTGGGCATGAATAAATCAAAGAATATCAACTGCTATATTTTACACCAATGAAGATGCTATTTTTTTTCCCAACATAAGTGTTGAGAATTCACCCAGTCTTGGAGGCCTAAGTACCATTTATCTTTTTACAACAACTTAATCAATCAGAATTGGGGAGGGGAGAGTGGGGGCATCCTTGACACTAGAGTATCTTGTTTGTTGTAAAATACAGTAATTACTTAACCCTTTCACTGTTTTGGTTGTATATATACGTCTTACGAGCCACTGTTTTTGATATACTGTATATGTACTTATAAATTCTAGCGGCTTCAAATCACGCAGGAGAAAGCTGGTAGGCCCACATGCGAGAGACTGGGCCTGTGTGGTCAGTGTGCACCATATAAAAAAAATCCTGGAGCACACAGCGAATAATGAGAGAAAAAACTCCGAGCGTTTTTTTGGATTAAAATGCTGACTTTGTGGTCTATTTTCGTATAGTATTTATGGTTATATTCTCGTTTTCTTGGTCTCATTTGATAGAATGGAAAACATATTATAGAAATAGAGGTGATTTTGATTGATTTTACTATGAAAAGAACCTTGAAATGGAGCTCAAAGTAGGGGAAATGTTTGATTTTTGCCGATATTCAAAAGTAAACAAATGATGTCATTTTCCAATAAATGTCCAAGTAACCATTCTGATATGCAGTCATGAATGGGTTGACATTATTTTTTACAATTACATTGTATTACAATATTGCAGTAGTCTGCATAACAGTAAATCTTCTATTTTTTGTTTGAATAAAAATTTAAAATAGAAAGCAAGAGTAATATCAGAGGGGCCTGGAGACATGACTGATGAACAAAGAAAATGTTATTTTAGAGCCAGGAATGTCTGCCTTGTTTATTCTGGACCCTATTTTGAAATTGTCGTATTTTTTAATTTTCGTGAAATTGGCCAAATTGCAAATTTCTGACCACGTTATTGGGTAGTTGAAATCAGTAAATGGGCAGTTTCTTGTACTCAATCGATAGAAAAAAAGGAGATCTAAAGAAATAGCTATGAATTTGGTCGACTGGAACAATGGAATAAGCTGAAAATAGGACTCAAAGTGGGGGGAAATCGCCCATTCGTAAACATCGCTGAGGTCGCTAACTTTGCGAAAGCGTAATTCCATCAGTTTTCCAAAAAATTTCATTCTTTTGGTGTCATTACAATCGTGAAAAGTTTCTCTTCTTTAAAAGAAAAAATATTTTTTTTTTTTTGTAAATATTGGGGAACCCAGGGATGCCCCGGTTTGGGGCGCCCCCGTAAAAGGAAATTCCTTGAAAAGTTTATTAATTTTATTATTTTATATTTAAAAATACTGGTACCTAAAATTTTCAAAGCTCCCAATTCAAAAAAATTTGTAGTATATTTTTGTAAGTGTTTTGTTAAGGGTATTTTTGGGGGGTCGAAAGGACTAATTTAATTTACATTTTCCCTTTATGGGAAAAAATTCGTTGGTTGGCACTAAAAACAGCCTTCTGGAAAAATTTTAAGTTCGTAACTCTGGGGACACTGTAGAATATTGGCAATTTTGTACGTACTGTAAAAAAAAAAATTAATAAAATTTAAGTTTTTTTACTAAAGCACAAATGATTACTAAGTCCAAAATGATTCTAAGTCATTTAAAACTTTTTCCCTATCGAAGTCATTTTTCCCCAATTTTCGGAACATTTGAGGGAAATATGCAATACTGACTGCAGAACAAGGTGGGGTTATATTTTGTGAGACACAATGGTTCCCCCGATGGCAAGGACCCAATCTAATCCCAGGGTTGCTCGTTGTAAAAACCTTTTTTAAATACCAATTTTAAACCCTTTTTGGGGTTTTTTGGTGTACTAGTACGTTTTGCGTAGGGGTTTTTGACGTACTAGTACTCATAAATTCTAGGGGCCTAAAATCAGGAGAGAAATGGTAGGCCTTCATGGGGAAAGAAAGGGTTATGTGGTAGTGTGCACAGTCTAAAAAAACCCTGCAGCACACGTGAAAGGAAAAAAAAAAACTTTGACCATTTTTTTTATTAAACAGCGACTTTGCGTGTATTTTCGTTGGTATTTATTGTTGTTTTCTAGTTTTCTTGGTTCTTTTTTTGAATGGAAGACATATTACAGAAATTGAGATGTTTTTGACGGTTTTTAAAATAAAAGGTGCCTTGAAATTGGCTCAAAGTGGAAAAATTTTCGATTTTTCCCACTTAAAAAGTAAAAAAATCGTAAAAAGCTGCAATACCGTCAAAACTGGTGGTCAAATATTCTTTCCAAGTGCCCAATTTATTTATCCCTTTTTTTTAACCTAAGCAGTAGTCTGCATAACATAATCTTATATTTTTTGTGAGAAAAAAAAATTAAAAGTGGAAAGCAAAAAAAAATTAAGAGGGGCCCTTGAGACGTGCTAATGACTAGAGGAAAGTCATTTTGTCCCGGAAAGTCTTTCTTTTTTTATTCGGGCCCTTTCGGAAATTGGCTCTTTTGAAATTTGTGTAAAATTTGGGAAAAAATTGAAATTTTCGACCACTGTATGGAAGTTAAATTTAAAAATGGGTGGTTTCTTGCCTCATTCCATAAAAAAATGGGGAAGGGGTTCTAGGGGAAATATTCTGTTTTTGTCGACTAGTACGTGAATTGGCCGAAAATGGGGTCAAAGTGGGCAAAATCGCCGAGGGTAAACATCGCCGGGGACAGCAAAACTTTGCGAGAGAAATTATTTTTATTATTATAATCAAAAAAAAGGGGCGCTAACCACAGGGCTATACAGCGTGCAGGGTGGGAAAGGGGAAGAAAGGGAATTGGATGGCAAAAAGGGGGGGGGGAATGATCAGCAGGTTACGAAAACGGGGGGGGCAGGGGATAGGGGGGGGTGGGGTAGCAAGGATAAAGTGGGAAAGGGGCTGAAAGTCAGAATTTGTGAAGTAAGTCAGTCGTTGTCAAAAAGTAAATAAAGGAGAGCCCGGATGAAAGGTGGGTCCATCAGCGAAAAGGGGAGGAAAAGAGAGAGCAGCGGGGGGGAAGCGAGGACAGAGGAAAATTTGCGTGTGTTTATAAAGGGGGCAGTCCAACAGAATGTGGCGGGACGATAATGGAGTTGGAAATTTCTCACAGAGAGGGCAGACGCCTCTCCATGATATCCAGAGTAGAGAGTATGGCCAATGCGAAGAAGGGGGAGTAGCCCCCCCACCTCGACACTGGTGAAAAAGAAGAGGGGCCGTAACCTATACTCGGTTTAATAGACTAAAATTTTGTTGCGAGCATAATAGCCCAACTTGTTGCCAAGGGGTAAAGGGGGGAAGTTTTTACAGCAAAATAGTCCGACATGGAATACCTTATAAGAAACTGGTGGCTGTATGCTGCCCCGCGCAGGGGTTTCTCTGTTCATTCCCCTGTACTCAACATGCCGGGGCCCCCCAACAAAAAAAATATCTTTATGCTTAGAAAGGCGGCGTACCCCAAAGTTGGTCGGAGGACTAAGGGGTGGGTGTATCAAATTTTTGTATAGCTGTAAAGCACAAAGGGAGTTGAGACAACAAAAAGATGACCGGGATAGATGCAATAGGTAAGTGCTGTAAGGATGGCTTAAAATTCAGCATTTAAAAAATAGCTGAAGTGTAAATCCCCTTGTACGACGCTGCCCGAAACCCACTGCTGCGAACCTACGCCGTCAAAAGATTAGAGCCATCTGTGTACACAGCAATGGCATGGAATGGGTGAAGTGGTCAAGAAAAAGAGGCGGGAAGCG